TTGACAAAAACCTAGAAAAATTTTGAAAAAACCGAAAAAAAAGTGAAAACAAGCGAAACAATTTTAAAAGTTTGAATTCGCGCGCTTTTACTCACCGGGCGGCCTAGAAAAAAACCTAGTCCCTAAGGGCTTTCAGCGTATTCTTCGATGCGTTTTTCTCGATGAAGGAATTTTTTTGAATTTTTTCTTTGTTTTTATGTCAATCTACATGCATTTCTTCACATTTTGATGCAATAAAAATTTCACCGTACACCACCTTTAAATAGGATTCTGCCTTTTCATTTATTGATTTGATTAATTGCAGTTAATTATAATACCAGTCGGTTTTTAAAATTCAATTTCGAAAATTCGTAAAATCAAGATTAGGAAATTCAGAAGTTCACAACTGAGGTCTTAAACTCTACTAAATTTTCTAACTCGGATGGAAAATCAAACATTTCAGAGTTTTCGAATGCTTGAAGTTTTTTCTGGGATTGAGAATTTCAGTATTTCAGAGTTTTAAAAATTACAACTTCAAATATTGTCTGACTTTCAATTGTAAGAGTTTTTGAACCTCCATATGTTTGAAGCTTCTGAATCTCCATATCTAGACTTTCAATTTTTTAAAAGAAAATCGAAAATTCTGAATATCAAAAGTTTAGAAAATCCAAAATTTAATCAATTTCTATTCCTTTGTTTAGATTCTGCTACACTTCTGATCACAAAAACTGTCAATGTGCCACAATAGTTCCACCTTCGTGTGGTTCGGGAGCTGTTAACTACACATTTTGTCATCTTCTAGGTTTTTTTTCTAATGAATTATTTTAGTTCGTGATCTTTAATTTCAGATGACGTAGTTCTTCCACCTCCAGAAATAGTTGTCCATGATGAACATTCGGTGTCAGCTGTGGTTCCACGATTCTTCCAAGAAGCTCCATTCGATGTCATAAAACCGTCTTTCCTGTACTTGTTAGCTTTATTCACGAAGGTAACTTTTGCACGACATGTTCAGAAACTTAAAATATAACGTTTTAGAATGGCTCGGAGTGCACATCATTTGGTCATATTGAGGCATATCATAGACAACAAGACAGATGTCTTCTCAGAATTCGTGTTCAAATGCCAAAAATTGATTACACAGGAACTGATGTGAGAGGATTGATATTTTTTAGAAAAATATGATCAGTTTTTTAGAATTACTACTATGACGATAGATCAGCCCTGGAGTCCCAATTCTCTCGAGATCTTTTTGGAATCGCTGAAAATGTAACGTTCTGGAATGAGGTCACAATTCGAAGAGATGAGAAAATTCTGAATGGAACTTTGGCTTTTGCAACTGTCATGAAGTCGACTCGAGTTGATTATAGTTTGTGAATAAATTGTTTTTTTTTCAAAATCTTATTTCAAGAAATGAGTCCGAAACCCACTCAAAAAATCTCCGCGAATGTTCATCCATCCCATTTTCTATTCTTTCGTTTTTTACTTCCTTTCATAAAAAAAGTCGCTTCACACATAAAAAGAAAAAGTAAAAAAGAAGTGCAAAAAGGTTTATAATAGCTGTCTCTCCCTCCCTTTTTTGGTTTCCCAGAGAGACCGGACAGCTCTTTGTGCTCCGTTTTTTACGGAGAACCTCATTTTTCTTTCTCAAAAAAATGCTCTCACTGCTTCTCATTGCTTCTTCAATCATCGACTCTTCATTTGGACAACTCCCTGGACCTAATGGTAAACTTTTTTAAATTTGTGTTTGATTGCTGCATTTTTTCAGATTATCCTGGAAGGATTGGTGGACGTTGTGGATTGTTTCAGTTTGATTGTGATCCAAGAGCAAGGACTCCATTATGTATTCCTTTGGCTGCAGTGAGAGATTGCACACCGGACTGCCCAAATATGAGTGATGAGTGTCAGTGCTTTTCAAAAAAATATTGTTCTGGGAATAGATCTGTGGAATAGAAACGGTGACCAAAAGTCTCGCAACGACAACTACCGTATCCTAAAATCCTTTTTTTATTACTATTGTTTTTGGCCACTTTTGTATTGAAAACCTTCAAACATGCCGGAAAGTAATAATTTTTGATAGTGAAAAAGTTGAACTGAAACGCATGAACATTGAAAAAATAAATCCAAAAACTAAAAATAATTTTAGATTACGGTAGTTTCGTTGCGAGACATTCGGCCACGCCCACGAGCTAGCTTTTCTCTTCCACAACTTCGATTTTTGTAATCTTCAACTTCAAGCTTATATATCTCATTTGCAGTAGATGATATTGAAAAGTGGTCAACTGACAAAATGTTTATTATAACCTCAAAAATATTTTGTCAGTTGATCACTTTTCGATATATTTTCCAGGAAATGAGATATATATGCTCAAAGTTGACGGTTTGGGGCCATTCTATTAGAGTATTAGAAAAAAAAACCTCACAAATCTTGTCAGGGTGTGGCCAAGGAACAATTCTCTGTGATGCTGGTGTTGGTCAACATCGGTGCGGAAAGTGTGTAAGACCTCAGGATATGGTAAATTTATGTTTGGATAGAAAATGTGAGTTTTGAAAACTTTAGATGGAAATTTAATTATTTTAGGGCAACATTTATGTGCCTATCAAGGTACCTATAAATGTGCGAAAACGATGAATTGTGTATTTGCAAAATGGTTGATGGATGGAAAAGACGATTGTGGTGATAGCAGTGATGAAGATGTTTGTGCTCGTGGATTAGTATCTTGTGCTGGAAGTGAACCTACTACAACTACGGTATTGGAACCTGTGACTTCCACAGAAAAACCAAAAGAAAAGAAAAAGAAAATAATACTCAAAGGTGAATAATGATAATTATATTTTCCCGAATCCGGAAATTCAGATCGCTGCGAGCTAGGCGAGTTCAGATGTCTAGACGGGGAGTGTCTTGATGTGTCACGAGTATTGGATGGACACGAAGACTGTTCAGATGCAAGCGATGAAAGTTAGTTTTGAATTTGATTCTTTACGAATCTTTTACTTCTTGAGACTACTGTGAAATGCACGACGGAGTGTGCAACACAGCCGCTCGATGCTCATTCCAACGGGATGTCGGTGCTTTTGGATGCGGATGCCCGAAAGGATTCGTTCGTAATCCGACTGGAATATGTGAAATTGAAGAAAATCGAATGAAAATTTGAAATTAATATTTCATTATTAAATTGTACATCAATTAATTAACAACATCGTTATGAGCAAATGGTTTAATGAGTGATGTAAAAATGAAGTTTTTAATTGAAAAACTGAATAGTTTTCGTATTCTCTGCACATTTAGACCCGTGATGAATGGAAATTTGGAAGAAAGGGGGAAGATTTTAATAACTTTCGTAAGGTGTTATCCTTGGAGTTTGTCCATAGATGACATTTGGATTCGAAGTTGTTATCATTCTCGACGATCTTGAATGAAATTGGCCTCCTTTCCAGCCTCTCATAGCTGCATATTGTTGTCGTTCCACATTTCGACGCCTTCTGGAAAAATTTTTTGTTGATAATCTTCTGATTTTTAAAAAATTAACACTCTCATAGAATGACCTTCTAACCTTTAACTTTGAGCTGAATCATCTCGACTCCTGTGGGAGATATTAAAAAGGTCAACTGCTAGAATAATTTTAATGCTATAATAAATTTTTTAACGGTTGACTACTTTTTGATATTTTCACAGAAAATGAGATATATGGGCTCAACGTTGGTGGTTTGGATGACAGCACATAGCCACTGGCACTTGGAAAAAATACTGTAGACAATGATTCTATTATGCTCGCATAAAAAATTGGTGCTGTGGAAGAGAAAAGCATGTGGGCATGGCCAACGGTTGTCGTAACGAAAACCACCAGAACCTCAAGACGTCGGAAAATAAAATTGTTATATTGTTCGTAACTTAAAAAATTGCCGAAAAACGGACGAAAATCGAGAAAAAAGTGTGCCAATTACGGTAGTTTGGGCGTGGCCGCAGCTATCAGATTTTCTCTTCCACAGCTCCGATTTTTGCATACCAGCAGAATGGGGAATAGTAACATGATAGTAATAATCAAAAACAAAAGTAAAAATCCAAATAAATCAGAATTACCTCTTATTCATATACATGACACCACACACCAAAATAATAAGAACTATCCAAATGAAGAGCATCGCCGAACCAATAATATACAAAACAGCTGAAATTATTGAGATTTGACTCTAAAAACAAATCAAATTTTTCTTACATGGAAAACTTCCACTTTCTTCAGCTCTTGGCTTCTCTCCATCCATCAGGTCCATATCTTTGTCATTCATTTTTGGTTTTATTGGTGGTGCTGAAAATGAAGGTTGTTTTCAATAAACTATGTATAGAATACGGAAAAGAAGCATCTCAAAATAAATATTACCTCCTCTTCCTGCACAATAGATTCCCATTGAGGAGGTCTAATTTTTCAGAATAAAAAAAGATAGAAGATCTAAGTACCTATTTTCCTTCTCGTTCAAATTAAATTCAGAGAAATCTCAAGAATCAAAATGAACGACGCCTTCGCCCCGTTTTTTTTCTTTGAAGAGAAGGAAGGAGGTGGAGAGTTAATTTGCAATGGAAATGGGGATTAGTCGACGAGTTTTTGAGTTTTTCCCCAGTTTTTTTTTTCGATAAAGAGAAAAAGAAAATACATATAAAAGATCGAAGACTATTTGTGACTCTTTTGAAAGAAATGGAATGGGAGGAGACGATTTCAGATTTAAAGAATATGATCTCCTTGGGATTTTCTAATTTTTTTGAATACATTTTTAGTCACTTCAGATGAAATTCAAATTAAGTTAGGTCAAGAAGGGATAGAGTCAAGAACACAGATTTTTGGATTGACGTCAGGAGTACGTCTTCAGATATCTGCAACTGATCTTCGTTTTTTCTCTTTTGGTTCAGTGAGTTTCAATTTCACGATGATGAAAAAGTCAGTTTGAAAAATTTCAGCACCTACTTTGAGGGAGGGGGGAAATCAAACAGTAATTCTCTCAAAATTCTGTTCGTTATGCCTCTCGAAGAGCGAACGCTCAACAATGTACACCGTTACGTCAGGATGCATACCCTGACCTCAAAAAAAATTAGAAAAATATCCTATCCCCTCTTCTTTGATACAAATTAGTTATTTTCTGTCAAAAGTGAGACAAAAAACCTTTGACTGATTTCGAAAACAAAAATATGACTTGTTTGCTACCAAATCTCAAAGCAAAAACCAACCTGTATAGAAAAGCGGAGGAGTCTGAACAGTGACGAATTTAGGTCTTTGTGGAGATGGAGTTGTTTCTCCAACCCGGTCTGGGACCCAATTTTTCATTACAAATGGATTTTCGGAAGAAGATGGAACAGACGAATCGGTTGTGTTTGCTCCTGGAAGATCTGAAATCGTTAAGAAGTTCTTGAAAACCACATTCGGGAAATTGCTTGTAAAGTAAATTGAAAATAGAAACAAATCTGAAAAGATTTCTCTATAATCGTACACATAAGTATTTCAGTAAACATGTATTCCTGAAAAAAACCCAATCTCAGATCATCTTTTGGTCATTGAATTTTTACAAAAAATTTTCAATCATTATAATTGATACACCAGTTAGGTTCTTAAATACAACTTACCATCAACTTCCATCAAATGATGTGTCAAATCTGACACCAGACGATTGCCGCCAGCTGATTTCACATTTTCTCTTGTCGTACATCTGAATCCATCCCCATGATATCCTTTTCGGCACACACATTTTGGATTAACGCCTTCTGATTTAACGCATTCAGCGTTTCGAGAACAAGGTACTGAGAATCGTGATAAGCATTGATCGATTTCTGCAATTTCTAGATTATGTGAGTTTTCCTGGCTTTGTCTTACGCTTGCATTCTTTTCCAACCGGGACGAATCCTTTCTTACAGTCACATCTGTAACCGCCTCTTGTGTTGACACATTGGGATCCATCTGCACATGTCACCAGGTTCATTCCACATTCGTCAATGTCCTGATCACAAGATGATCCTTCCCATCCGGCTCTGCATAGTGCACCAGGGCACATTCCAGTGACCACATCACAGGCAACTGATCCGTCACAATGACACGTTGATACACAATTAATTCCTGAGAAAACAAAATGAAAAATCCTGTTTCTATCGATCACTCACCATAGTGACCTGCTGCACATTCTCTATCACAGAATGGCTCTCCTACTCTGCCTGGAGGACATGTTTGAAGATCAGCAACATCCACTCGGAACATCCATTTTCCAGGTTGTCCCACATTTGATCCACTGGTCAGGCGTTTATTTGGAAGCATTAAGAATCGACTAGGAGTCGAAATTCCAGTCATTGGTCCTCGAGCTTGTACTTTTTCATAAATCAACGAAAGAATAGTGAAATCCTTATCAGATTCAGCTAATACTATTTGGAAAGAATTAAAGTTTTCTGATCCGGATTGTCTGACTCTGTCGAAAGTAAATATATGAAGACGTTTTGTGTGGAAGTTTTCGATCCCCATCGATGTTTGAATACCAATAGAAGAACGCATTAGAAGAGGGAGAGTCACTGCATCAGTATCTGAATCAAAGCAGGGATTTGAAAAAATGATTAGAAAATTTCAGTACTAACCATTGATATATGTGTATGCAACCAATCCATCTCTAATATAGTCGAACTGAGCATGGAGGGCGAAAATCGCAGGTTTTTTCAGAGTATCCGCATGGTCTATGAGACCTTGTAAGGGCTCTTCGAACGATATAATTCCGTTTGTTGAGAGCTAAAATATTCGATCAATCAGATTCAAAGACAGGAAAAATGTGAAAAATGTGAAGTTCAGGACTTTTTAATTTTTGAGTTTCTGAACTTCTGAATTTTTGAACTTCTAAACTATCGAATTTCTAGTTTTCCGAATTTCCGAACTCCTCAATTTTTGAATTTGTGTCGGTACATTTTTTCATGTGTGTATTTCAATCACCAAAAACAAGCATTTTCTTTTGCCGGAAAAAAAAAACGGAAAATTTTTTCAGATCGAAATCCTGGATGAACTTTTTGAGCCCCGACTGGAAATGGTCGTCAAACAACCATTTCAAAAAATTATTAGGTTGGCGGGAAAGTCTTTGTCACTTTTTCAATAGTTTATTTCTCAAAGAAAAAATAACCGAATAATTAATTATATTGTCCATCATTATCAACAACATGTCTCCAACGTTCCCTCAATTTATGGATTCCATTGCGGTAGAATCCAGCCGGGCGTGAGGCAAAGTATTGTTTGAGTGCCGCTTCGACCGCTCCACGGGAATGAAGCTTCTTCCTTCGAAGGCACGTGTCATATCGCCAAATAACCAATAGTCGGAAGGAGCAAGATCAGGAGAATACGGGGGGTGAGGGAGAACATTCCATCCATATCCCATCAGCTCCTGCTTCACTTGTTTCGAAACATGTGGGCGAGCGTTATCATGTTGATAGTACACTTTCTTGTCTTTCAGGGCCGAACGGTCGACTGCTTTCTTGAGGTTTCGTAGTTGAGTAGTGTAGAGGTCTCCAGTTATTGTTTTGCCCTCGGGCAGAAGTTCCCAGTAGATGGGGCCGTCCACTCCCCACCACACAGAGAGCATAACTTTTTTCGGATGAAGGTCGGGTTTTGGGACATCCTGTGGGCTCTCTCCTTCTCCAACCCACTGGGATTTCCTGTGGTGATTATCGTAGAAGACCCACTTCTCATCTCCGGTTATTAGCCGGTCCAGCCATCGATCGCCCGCGTGGAGAGTGAGAAGAGTAATCGAATCGTCGACTCGGCGGTCAAGGTTGGCTTGAGTCAGGTGATGAGGTATGAATCGACCAAAAAGTTTTCTCATTCCAAGAGACTTCAAACCTTCAAGGACTGTGCTATGGTGAACTCCGAATGTGACAGCTAGTTCACGGCTAGATTGAAATGGATCCGATTGCAATGCGTGCTTCAGCTTGTCCAAATCCAACTCACGGGGTCTCCCAGAGCGATCCTTTTCATCGAGCGAGAAGTCATCTTTTTCGAAACGATGGAACCAATTGCGAATAGTATTGTAGTGAGGGGCATGTGTGTTGTACACATTCTTCAAGAAAGTTTCCGAATCCTTCATCGTGGTGTGAGATAGGAAGAGGTAAATCAAAACATGTCTGATGTGAATAGCAGTGGGAACAAACATATCGTTTCAATTACAGATGAGGAGCAGGGAAGGAGATGGGGACTTGTTTATATGGAAGGTTCTTATCACCTTGTTATTCACTAGAGTCGATATCATACACAGCCTCCATATACGAGAACAGTGATTAAACAAACAGAGTGACAAAGACTTTCCCGCCAACCTAATAGCAAAACTAGCTTCCCATTTTAGAAACAAAGTGCTCGTGTAGAAAACTCACATAAATCTTGGAATACTTCTTTCCAAAAATAGTGATTTCTTTGGCAAGTGGAATTGCAGTATTTGAATCCCATGACCTCGGAATCACTGTCGAATCATTGGAAATCGGGTAGAGGATGGTCTCATGGCACGTTTTTCCGTCTCCAACAAATCCATCGATGCATTCACACTTATAAGATCCTCTAGTATTACTACAAGTAGCAGCTGGGTGACATGGTTCCACAGCACATTCATCTCTATCTGTACAGTGAGCTCCTTCAGCTATTCTTTCAAATCCAGGAAGACATTCACATTCATAACCTCCTTCCTAAAACTCCATAATTGATTTTACTAATGAAAACTCATACTTACTGTGTTAGTACATTGTGAATTCGGTCCGCATGCATCTCCATTTTTACATTCGTCGACGTCTCTGCATTCTGAAGATGGATCTCCTTCATATCCATCTTTACATAGACATTCGAATGATCCATCCTTATTTATACATCTTGTTCCTTTGTTTGGATCCCCACAGATTTTTGGAGACTCACGGCATTCGTCCACATCTGAAAGAAAAATTCGAAAACTTCAGATTTTTAATTCTGAATTTTTCGAATTTAAAATTTTACCTTGACACTTTCCCTCTTCAAACCGATATCCGCCATGGCAAGTGCATTCAAAATTTCCGATTGTATTCGAACAAATCGAGTGATCTCCACAGACATCTTCTGGGATTTGGCATTCGTCCACATCGTAACATCTGAAGCCATCTCCTGTGAATCCTTTAGAACATGCGCAGATTCCATTAGAACATTTTGCATTCTGATCACATCTGGAGCAAGCGGAAGGTGTTGTCACTACTGTAGGAGTTGTAGTTGTTCTGGTGACAACTTCAGTTGTGAGCAGTGGAGTTGACATAGTTTTTTCTCTGAAAAAGAAAGTTTGAAAGATGAAATCTGCGGAATAAATTCTTACCTCGTCGTTGTAGGAATTTCTGTAGATGAATGCGTCGTGATTGCTTGTGTAGTTCTAGCGGTGGTTGATTTGAAACGGTTTCGTGGAGACACTGTAACTTTTGCAGGAGCTGGCTTCCTTGTGAAGGTTGGATGCATTGGTATAACATCAACAGGAATTGGAGCACTTGGTGGAGCTGGCTTCGAATTTTTACATTTTTGTTTTTCTTCATCGTATTCGAAACATAAACACAGAAAGCTTCCAGGTGTATTCAGACAATCAGGTTGTTCGTTTGGACAATTATCAATTCCCATTTCGCATTCATCCAGATCTTCATCACAAATCGGTTCACTAGTCCACCCAGGAGAGCATTTTCCATTTGGACATCTTCCGTTTTCCTGATCACATGAATCTCCTCCATCACAGTGACAACTCTTCGAACAATCATTGAACCATTGGGATGGAGCACAACTTTCAATGCATTCCAATCCTTTGAATCCTGCTCCACATAGATATATTTGATTGCCATCTACCCTGAACAACCATTCTCCTGGAATTCCAATATCTGATTTTTCGGAAAGAAGAATCGCATCATGAGTTGCTGAATCAGGAAGAGAATATGAGGATTGTCCAGTTGAAAATCCAGCGATTGCATTCGTATTATAATTTAGTTTACTGTAGATGAAATGGGCAAATGTCATCGAGTCTCCAATAATAAGTGCCAATTGGAATGTGTTTCCTTCTGATTCCTGGAATTTCCAGATGTTCAATGAGTTACTTTATTTCGTCCCATAATTGAATTCTCAATCTCAAACGTTCGGTTATTACGTAGGTTTTTTTTTCTTGACCTTTTTCTTTTGAATGTTGTTCTATAGATCAGAAAGTCTCCTGGATTTTATGTTTCTATCTGGTTCAATAACCTCTTCACTAGTCTAGATTCGAAAAATAAGTGTTCCCTTTTCTTCCGACATGTCCCTATTATTACAGTTATTATTGCCAGTGAAAAGAAAAGAAACGTTGTTCTTCGAAGTCTTCCGAAACTTAATTAGCAAGGAAGAAACCAACAAAAACTATCTTTACACCTAATTCAGTTTTTGAAATACCCACTGGTACGATCGGATCCTTTACCCCTTCCCACGTGATTAGAACCACTGATCTAACACGAAACTGGGAACCGTATCTGTATTGAATATTGACTTCGTTGTGAGCCAGATTCATAATGTTGACATCTGAAAAGAAAATAATAGTTGATCTGAATCTCTCTATTCTCAAATACCGGAAGTCTCGCGATACCAAACATTTCCGAGGGTGGCAGGTTGCCAGAAAACTGCAATTGTTGGTTCTTCTACTGGAAGAGCTGATGGTTTCTGACGTTTTTCAGTGAATCCCACTGATCCATCTCGAGAGATCTGAACATTAATATTTTCAATAAAGAAACGTATTTATGTCGTTCTTTTTCCCCATTTCCCTTAGAAAAAAAAACGGCTAAAGAAAATGGTCGAGTGCTCTTGAAAGTGAGGAGTGAGCGGAGGAAAAGAGAAAGTTTTTCGTGTTGAGACAATGATAGCACATTCGGAAGACATTCCGTTTTTTGATGGTTGAGAATTAATATAAGGCTAAATGATACTACTTCTGAATCAGAATTTTATTTTACTATATTTATAATTGCCAGGATTTTCAGAAAACGCTAGACATATATACCGTAGAACCTGCGATGGAAGGACGCTTAACTTTAAACTTTACGTCTATTTCTCCGGTTCTTGTAAAAGATATTAAAAGTTTTAAGCTGATGAATGGTTTATCATAATACCACCAAAATTTTACCAGTCGACTAATTTTTTGATATTTTGCATAGGAGCCAAGAAAAACCTGCTCGAACTTGACAGTGTAGCCTTTCGATGAGCGGCTTTACAATTAGGGTTTTTCTTGAAACTTCTTTCCCTCGAAATGTAGAATAAAATATGTGTTACATTAGCAAAAGGCATCTAAAACTATTATGTTCATTGCAATTTAATTTTTTTCAGAAGAAAAACATACCCCAACCCCCCCCCCCAAATCGTAAACTTTGAGTCCAAATAGCTCATTTCCGGCAAAGGTATCAGAAACTAGTCAACTGATGAAATGTTCATCATAATATCAATAATATTTTGTTAGTTGATCATTTTTTGGTATCTTTTACGGAAATCGAGATAAATTGGCTCGAAGTTGAATTTTGCTGGTAATTCTATTACAGGTTATACGGTAGTTCCCAAATTCTAAAATCCTTTTGAACTTCAACAAAATTTGCCATACCATCAGAATAGTTTCCGTAACCCTGGAGCTACTCCATTTTTCTTGTTTTTGATCCCAACATTCTGTGTAAATACATACATCTTCTAAATTCTATTCTCTCCCTATTCTCTAAACAAACAAATCATCATCTTTCAGTGTTCTTTCCTGTCAATTACCCCTAAATAAGTCATTGTGAATTCATAATCGGATGTTTGTTTCCTGTTTCACACCTGCCTAGTTTTATTTGCTTTACCGTTTGCCATCCGATTTCTTATTTCTTCTATTCCGAATTGAATCTGATTAGCTATTCAGATATGTCTACGTTCTCCTAATTATTACGAAATCGTTTCTTTGCGTAATCCCATCCGAAACGGCCAGGTAAAAACCGTTAAAACAAATCTGTTGTCGGATTTCAAACAGTCGTGAAAAGCGATTACGATTATCTATGTGATACAATCGAACATTGCCAGAAAATGTACAAGATTTAGGATGGATATTCAATTGGCTGACCTCTCATTCATATGATACTGATTTGAGATGATCCGGTGGGAATAAAGAAGAAAAAGAAAGAGAACGAACGATTTCACTTTTACAAACTAATGTGATAGGGAACGTTTGAATGGGAGAGCGCAAACTTAAAACTTTTTGTAATTGGTTCCAGTTCTTCTCAAAAGAAGATAATATTGAATTGTAAGAAGAAGCAAACTAATTGGAGATGAAAAAGTTAATGACCAACAAGAAATCTGAGAGGGAACATAAAGAAACAAGATGGATTAATTATTCAGGGGCAGAATGGAGTTAAAGTCTCTTTTTCTGAGATTTTAGATGCTGAGATTTCAAGATAATTGAAATTCAATACTGTATGTACTTAGTTTTCGAATTCAGAGAAAATTTAAATTCAAAATTTCGGAAAACGTTGTCGAGAATTCAAGCTCATTTCTCTGTCCAAGAGAGTTGCGGGAATCCTAGTCCAAAGCCATTGTGTGCTCTACTTTTTCATGCAATTTTTCAGATTTTTTCGCCGTTTTCGTTCTTTTTTCTGTATTTTCAGAAAAATTGAGAAATTGTAGAAATTGTATGATAACCACTTGGACAAGAACTGAGCCCGTTTGAATTTTCAACATTTTTTACAGAGTTTTCGAGCTTTTTTCTGAATTTTTTCGAAGTTATATTATGAAAATACATAACTTTTTGAACATATTAAGGAAAAAAAATTACAAAAACGCTAGTCAAACTCCCCCTTTAAGGTAAAATCCATCTCACAAAGCTTTTACAAAACTTTTGCCAAGCTCTCGTCTGGTATAATTAAGAGTAACCAAATGACAAAAAAAACTAGTACTGTTCTGTCATGTATTCTTTCAAAATGCAAGTTTTCTACTTGAAAATCTGCTACAACCGTTTTTATTTTTGTAAACAAGTTATTTTCTTCCAAATATCCCGATTTCTCCAAATTCTTAATTCAAAAATAATTTTTTCCATTTTTCCGAAAGAATATGCAAATCTTCTTATCACAATTCTGCCAAGAATTCGAGACCAGATTCTGATTCTCTTCTTCTTTTTCTTCTTTTTCTCTTATGCTTCATCTTCTAAGAAAAGACAAGGCAGCCGGTCAGTTAACACCATTTCGTCGTTGTCTTGTATTGGCGATAACGATAAGAGGATGGGAAAAAGAGAATGGAAGAGAATGAAAAGAAGGAGAAGAAAATGAACAGAAAAATCCTCAGAAAAAAGAAGAAAAAAGGAGAAGAAGAATAGGATAATATGACGAAGAGGTATCTGCCAAATCTTGTGTTTTTGATTGATTAGATGTGCCATCAAAAGATATTTGATGAATCATTTTGTACTTTTCAAAGTAGTACACGATTTAAAAAATGAAAAAGAAAACTTGGGAAAGAGATCTAAATAGATACCGAATCTCAAAAAAAACTTACATAAACACTGTCATAGACATTGCCCATGAAATGGATAGGATTTTCCAATTTGTAGATTTCTTGTCTTCCATGAATTGGTATATCTCCTCGGTTGGCTCCATAGGTATATAATCTAGCTGAGAATATATAGGGTACTGTAATATTCAAATCTATCTGCTGATTAGGTTCGTCCAGAATTTGCCGTCGATATCGCTGATGTCCTGAAAATCATTAAACTGAAAATAAGAACGAGGAATTGGAAATATTTCTACTTTATCAATATAAAGGTCTGTTTCTACTTTTTCAAACCGTATTATAAGATTGAAGGATGCAAACGTTAAATCGGAAAACTTGAAACTCAAGAATGGAGTTCTTGGCCAATTGGAAGAATGATGTTTGAAAGATTATAGAAACTAGGTACTGTTGAAATAGGATTACTTGCGAACCCCATACATACAGTAACCCTAAAAATAAGAAACCGGAAAACTAACCGTAAAACGGATGTAACCCAAAAACAAGTGATAAATGAATGAGTAATACAACTAGTATACCATCTCCTCTCATTTCTCAGAAAGAGAATCGTGAGATGATCCTGGACGGATTTGAATAGGCGCGCGAGAATGAACGATTCCGGGGGGCGGATGACACGCGCAGTCCAGAGACACACAGAAGCCGAAGAAGAAGAAGAAGACCATCTCCTATTTCCTCAACCTCCCTGCGTTTCTCACGTTTTGTGTGTACAGAAAAGAAACGTCCATGAGGATTGCGGTTTTCGATCCAAATATGATGCCACGCCCCCTATTTTTTGAAAATTTTCGAAAATTCTGCAACTCATTGAATGTTTTCACAAAAGAAATTATAGGCCGATTCTTCTGGAAACAAGAATAATTGTGCATTTAGCTGCTCTACAGTAGTCTCTTTACATCTTCAGAATCTGAGTGTCTCAACTGGTTTCCTTTGAAATTCCTTCCGGAAAACGATTATTTACTTTATCACCTGCTGTGCTCTCATTAATTCAATTGACATCCTCTTTTTCGGAATTGCAACATTTTGATGAATTCAACCTGTTGCTATTCCTTTTCTTGTTCCAGAATCATTCATTATTCGTTTTTCCCAGGATTGGAAACCTATCGGGATAGGAACGAATTCCCCGACGAATTGTTGACATGAAATATGATATCAGATATCAGTTAGGTTATACATTACGAATCCATCATTATATATTGACGATATTTTGGACGCGAATCGGGAGGAGACAAACGGATGGCGGAGAATGAAAAGAACAAGAGAACTACTACTAGAAATGATTGTTCATTTGGGAAACGAGAGGGGGTAAAAGCAGAGACGATTTGGATAGTGAATCAGCTTTGAAACTATACTTTCGGTCAAGTTAAGATTGTTCAGAGGCTAAAAATTTCTAGCAAAAACTAGAAGAAAACTGATCATGAGTTGATTTTGATCTGTGAGACGTTTCGTTTGTGAACATCTGTGGATTTTATATCTACAGTACCGGTGTTTTGTATACCTTATTGACCGGTACTGTACATTTGAGAATTCTGGAGCACGGCTGTCAAGTTTCCGATCACTTTGGTAACTTTGCATTCACACAATTTTCTTTAATTCCTAGTTTTTCAGTTATTTGCTGATTTCTGGAAGGCACTCCTTTTTGGCTCGTTTTTGTACTGAAAACGTGAAAAACAGGTGTCTTTCAGAAATCTTCGAATATCTGATAGTGAAAATAATGAATTTTCGAAAAATTCTGTGTATGCAAAGTATTCAATCTCTCTCTGTTTTACAGCTTTTGAAGTTTTCATCGTGATCAGAAGCTTGACAGCCAAGCTCCAGACTCCTCAAAATGAGAAAAATCAACCGGTGGTACGGTATTTAGTGCTGCTACAACCACCTCTCAATATTTCGAAAAACACAAAAATTATTCTTTTTCACCTTCTATGTGTTTGATGATGGAATTCCAGTTCTCGGTTATCCAGCGGGCCCTCCTGACCTAAACATCTCCAAGGAAGTTTTGGGGGATTCACGATAAAAAAGATTGACAATAGAAACAGGAGCTACGGGATCATTTCAGACCTTAATCATGTCAAAACTACACACATTCTGGCTGTTGTTGAATCGAAAATTGCTGGGAAACTTTTATCCGTCCATACGTTCTCAAATTTTTTATGTGGTACTGAACCAGATACAACTTTTTCAGAAAAACGATTCCTTCGTTTTTCCAAAAATCCTTCTACCTACCATTTTTTGATTTTTTCTTAATTTGTGTATATATTAGGTTGTTGAATAAATAGTGGTCACTTTGACTTCGCTCTACCGCTACTTTTTCGATTATCGATTTTTTTCATTTTTGTTTTAATATTTTCATGTGTCACATATTGCATGTTTATTACATCATTAAAACTTTCAGGTAATTGCTACAATGACCGAGAATTTACTCGATGATCATCATGCACTCAGAGGAGTGTTTTTGTTCATGTTTCTCCAGGGTCACTCGAGCAACGAAGCTCGGCGAACAATGTGTGAAGTGTTAGGCGCAGACACCATCCCTCGAACCACGATTAAGTTTTGGTTCAAAAGATTCGAGGAAGGGAATTATAATCTGGAAAAAACCGAGCCCCGGAAGGCCTCGTCTCAATATCGACGACGATATTTCAATGACACTGGAGGAAGAGCCCCGGGCTACTTTACGGGAAGTATCTTTGACAGTCCACCATCCACATAGCACCGTTTCCAATCACCTTCATCGAATGGGGAGAGTTCCGAAATTCGGTCAAATTATCCCACACCTGTTGACCGATTTTCAGAAAAAAACTGCGATGTGACCTGTCACTTTCAATACTCACCAGGGAGCCGACGACGGACTGGATTAAGAAGATAATTACTGGAGATGAGAAGTGGGTACTGTATGTCAACCATACCAGAAAGCGCCAGTGGGTCCCTGCAGGAGAAGCAGCAGAATCGGACCCAAAAGGAGAACTTCACGAAAAAAAGATAATGCTTTCGATTTGGTGGGACAGTGCTGGAGTGATTTACCGCGAGCTCCTTCCGGACTCCACTACTATTAACTCTGATGTTTACTGTTCTCAAATGGATAATGTACTTCATGTTTACCGCTCTCACCGCCCGAGAAGCTCGAAGATTATACTTTTGCACGACAACGCCAAACCACACACATCTTTGAAGACCCGCAGTAAGCTCCAGTCCCTCGGAATCGAAGTTCTTCCTCATTCACCGTATTCTCCGGACCTGGCACCCACTGATTATCACTTTTTCCGTTCTCTCCAGAACCATCTTTCCGGTGAAAAATTCAATGATCGCAAGGATGTCGAGAAGTTTTTGGATCACTTTTTTGCCTCCAAGTCGCCAGAGTTCTACGCAAATGGAATTGCTCAACTTCCAATGCGCTGGCAAGAAGTTATCAACTCCAATGGAGAATACATTTCTTATTAATTTTTGTTTTCCTTGAATAAAATGCGAATTGAAAAAAAGTGACCACTATTTATTGAACAACCTAATATGTTAAAATTGTTTTTTAATATATTTTCTGGAGTTTTCAGTTAATATTTTAAAACAAACGGCAATTAGCGTAAACTGCAATTACAACAAACTATAAACTTTGAGCCCATATATCTCACTTCCTGTAAGTGATATCAAGAAGTAATCAACTGATAAAATGTTGATCATAATAACAAACATATTTTGTCAGTCGACCACTTTTTGAAATCATTCACAGGAATCGGTATCAGTTGGCTCAAACTCAAAGTGAGGAGACCCTTCTATTACATGTTTTACGGAATGTCGTTTGATATTTGACCTAATTATCGAATATTCGCGTGGAACGTCAAAATTTCTAGGTCTGTTGATAATTTTTGTTCTTTGGCGCACCTCCCACGTTGTTGATCTCAATGACGTTTGCCACGCCAACAAGCAGGTGAGGAGGCTCCAGAAAGGCTTGGAACTTGTATCACAGTTCTCTGTCTCAAAAGTTCTGATTTCAAAGACTCCGAAACATCATGAGAAAACAAAATCGTCCCAATCAAGTAAAGTTTCACCGATCTCCAACTTTCTAACCCAAACCTCTTATCAGACAACCAGAAAACAGATGCAAAATTTAACGGTTGAGCTGTTTTCGAGAGACAAGAACGCTCGTCGTCAACTTCTTGATGAAGCTCTCTCTGTTTCTCCGCCTTCTGTTCCTGAGCCTGTTGCCGTCGTCGTTCCAGAGACTCCGCCTCCTGTACCAACACCTGAGCCAATTCAAGAACTTGTGCAGGTTCTTCTTGCTCCTGAGCCATGTAATACAGATTATTAAAATGTATATTGACCACTTTATCTTCAGGCGATCCCATTCCGAGAAAACCAAGAAGCCCGAGAAAATCTATCTCCACTCGTCCGAAGCCAAAAGTTTCCGATGGTAAACTCAAAGGGAAGCCAGAAGCTCCTAAAGAGAAACCGGCAACAGAGAATGTCGTGAATGAGGAGCCCACTGCAACTCCAGAGCCTGAACCAAATTCTGTGACATCCGAAGAAACAATTGACAGTGCTCCTCAACGTATTTCAGCCGAGGAGATTGTTGATAACAACGAGTATGCGGAGAAGGAGGTTCCTGCCGTTTCAGAAACAGTTGTTCAAGGTTTAACTTCTCATGAATCAAAATTACAAAATTTCAAATAGTTTTTTTCCAGAAGAACCCCCAGTTTCTGTTCCTGAAGATCCAGTTCCAACTACCGTAACCCCAGTCGAAGAGGAATACGTCACACCTCCTCCATTGCAACGTATTCCATATTCTGCTCAACAGAGCAATCTGGCCAATATTCGAGCTGTCGCTGAGTCGATGAACATTGCTGCCATTCGTTCGCCGCCTCATCAACAATCGTATCAACCACAGGAACCAATGTCATTTGCTGCATGTGTCCGTAAACAACCATCAATTGAGAGTATGAGTGTTTCTCCATCTCCCTATTGTAAATTCGATGGGAAGACGAGTCCTTTCAACACTGGAGCTAATGGGGGTTTCAGTAACCCCGGAGGATTCGGAGGGTTTAATAGGGATCCAAACAAGAATGTAAATTTAACTTTGTCTTTGTATTTCACAAGTATAATTTTTGTTTTCAGGTGAATCCTTTTGCTAACCGCAAGAAGTTCAACTACGAATATGATTCTGCTCCTTCGAACAACTCTCACTCGCCCTTCAATAATAATCGTTTCTACAATGATCGTGCGGAGCAAATGCGAGATGTTTCGGACAGTTTCTCTTCGTTGAATTCCAAACCAAATGGATTCATGACTCGTGGAATCCCACGAGAAAGCGCCAGCTCTGGAATGCTTCCAAATTGGTACAAAGGAAGATCTTTCTCTACTGCCAGCTCCCACTACCCATACAGCCAAAGATCCAACTCTTCTGGACACTTTTCTGGATTCTCCAAGCCTTCGCATAGCACTACTTTGAATATTCCATCTCATGGTCATGTGGAAGATCTTGATGGATTTCTGGCATCTGGCACTCAATCGAATCCCTTCTTGAGTAAAAGATCAGACCTGAATTTGAAGTAGGTTCCGCTCTTCCCAACTACTTGTATGATATTCTTTTTGTTATTTCTTTTATGGCCATTCTCTGCCAATTTAATGAAGATTTTGTTTGAAACATGTTGTTTTTATTGTCTTCGGAAAAAGATGTTGGAACTTTCAGGAAAGAGAGATGGGCACGAATGAAAGCTAAAAAGCGAATGCTGAGAAGACCAATTGAAGATGAATTTTATGAGGATCCAGACGAAGAGGAAGAAATCCTTCGGGGAAACGGAGTTATGCTCAATCAAATCGTTCAACAAAGTTCTACAGGACACTATGAAGACGCCGATTTGCTTCGGAAATATCGTCGGGACGTTGCTTTTGTGAAAGAAAGAGTGTTGAGTGCAATCGATGGAAACATTGATGGGATCCGTGATTTGAGATTCCTGTTGGCTTCTGTTCAAACTTATGGAAATATTGATGGAGAGTGTATGATGGCTGAATTGGGATTGAACGAATTCTCATTGTTTTCGGGGATCATCGAGAAGTACCATGCGATTGTTGGACCATGGCAAACTGACAACGAGTCACAAAGAAGACGAGCTAGCAGACATGCATTCGAAACTCATCGCATTCCACTTCAACACTCTATTGCAACCGTATCCAAGAGAAAGGTGACAATCATGTTCATTCTCATTCATAAAACGATTTCAGCTCGTTGAAGAAATTTTGGGCCGCGTCGAGCCGAGCATCGCTTGTCACCAAGGTGTAAAAGTTGGACTCTACAGCGACTCTTGCAATGAAAAAACGAGAATCGAGTTGAATATCAAGAACAATTTCAAAGATCCAGGAATGTTGTGTGATAAAAACGATCGTAGATTCATTCTGGTCCTTCAATCTGAACTTGATTTAATGGTGGAGAGTATGAAACATTTAGCAAAAACTGTTGGGTTTAATTATGATGGTTAGTGGTTTATGAATAATAAAAAAGAGAAATATGAATTTGATTTCCAGGTTTCCCAGTACATCAAAACAATTTTGTGATCGTCGAAGCGTTTGTCGAGGCGATTTCGGATATAATGGGCGAGAAAGTCGACATGGAGACGATGCGTTGGTTCAGTCTGCTCGGACAGAAAGTGGATGCAGAAGAAGTATGTTTCAGACATACTGGTGCATTATTATGGCTAAAAATTTGCAGAGTGCTTCTCCGTGGGAACCTGGCACCGATTTTCACTGTTCACGTCATTCGGAACCAAAAAGCAATTTCTGTGCGGCGGTTACTGTAGGAAGAACTTGTTGCATTATTTATCACGTTCTCGGAAGCTTTTTCCGTCGATACCATCTTAAGAAGATCCCGACTGCTCATCAGAATTCATCATCTTTCAACTCGATGCAATGAGTGAATAATGAATACCATAACTCGTCCATTCTTTTTTGATTCACCTATTTCTCTCTTTCGTTACTCCATGGGTCAATAAACATGTTTATAAACACTTTCGATCATTTTTGATATTTATTCATATAACAAATTATTACATTTATGCCAAACATTGCAATCAACATTTTTAGAGGAATATTAGTGAATACGAATGCTTGTAATACCTGAATAGGCAAAATCTGAAGGGAAGGGAATTTTGGGAAAGGGGGAATAGAAAAAAGGAACGCTGAAATCATCCGAGAGGTGGGAAGTCATCTTCCGTGAATGAAGGATCAGCTGGTACAGCTACTTTCTGTGCGGCCACTGCTCCGGAGCGTCGTTGTTGAGCTCTTTCTTTTTGAGCTTGTCGTTTCGGGCGGCTTGGACGAGAATGCTTTAGAATTTTCTCAGATCCTTTTTCTTTGGTTGGTGGCCCAGGAGCTCCAGCTGAACCAACTGTGATACTGTTTTCGAAATCTGTGAAGCTCGACTGTGGCACTGCCGGGATCAGGCATTGATTGTAGTCCATAAATCCTGTGGCCTGAAAAAAAAAACCTTAAGAAAGCTCGGGAGAAGAGTAGCTTACATCGAATGGCTGTTGGTATTGCATCAATGCAAAAACTAAATCTTCTTGCTCTTTGACTGATAGACCTGCAAGTGGACCCAGAACATCTACCGGTGGCTGATTCTCTTGGTCCAGTTTTTCCAAACTGATCGAATCACTGAGCTGTTCGCCAGAAGAAGTATCTAATGAGAAGTCGAACATTTTATAACGATTTCCTCGTCGCAGATCAGGTATCAATTGACCACGTGGTAATTGTTGTGGAGTGTTGGCTGAGATCGCATCAATGAATTCTTCAGGATGTCGGTCATTCAAGTTGACGATTTCAACTCTTGATTGATAGGAGAACGGTGGAAGATGACGCCACATCGATTTGAAATCCGTCAAGATGACCAGGGGTTTACCAAACGAAAATGCTCGAGCACTGTACTGAAAACAAGTATTTTTTTTTGAAAACATTAGTGATCGCAAGCTATTCTTACCACTTGCTCTGCAAATCCTTTATCCTTGAGCCGGTCATTAACAGATATATCCAAAGTCCGCAAACTGTCGCATTTTGTCACCAAATCGGTAATCGTTCTTGGACTGACGAATGTATTTTCGGAGACCATCAATCTCTCTAGCCTTCCAGCATTACCAATTGCTTCCAGCCCAATCGAGATGTCTCGTTTCGACAAACCGTCCAGATTCAAGCTTTTCAGCTTCGGTAGGTTTTTTAACTTTGCGATTCCATTTGGCCCAATATTCTTGCAAAACGATAAAGAAAGATGCTCGATGCTTCCAAAAGCTGGTGACGAAGACTCAGATAAATCACCGAGGAATTTATCAGTGACATTGTTCACACCATCCAGACAAAGCGTTGAAAGCTTCGGAAGACGTTTAATCTCGGCTAGACGGAATTGATTCATCTTTTGCTCCGGGTCAGCAACAATTGAGAGATTTTTGAGAGTTTTCATATCTCCAATACGCTTGATGATCTGTTCATCAATACAAGGGAGCAGAGAAACAAGTAAAGTTTGAAGCTGTTGAAGGCGTGTGCACATTCCAAGGAAACCTTGTTTTGTGAGTGATTGACAGCATTCCAGTTCAACTTTGCGTAGAGATGTGGGAGCTTTCTGAAGAAATTTTCAAATTTAGAACTGCAGAGAAAACAATTTAATGTTCGACAGCAATTACAAGCTTACAGAAAAAACCTTCAAAAATCAAAATGTTCAGGCTGTTCCTGTAAGTAACCGTCGAAACTGGTATATGTCGGCCTTTACAATCAATGGGGGTAAAATAAGCCCATCGACCAAGATTCACGACAATCATATTTGAATCAAAGTAAGTTTGATAAAAATAAAATTAAAAGCTTACCGAGAAACAATGACCATTGATATAACTTGCATCCATTCTGAGCACTTCCAACTGTTGACATTGCTTGAAAATCACTTGCAGGTCCATATCTCTGAGGCGATGTCTACAGCAAATCAAGATGTCCAATTGCTTCAATTGTGAGCAACGGGTAACTGATGCGATCACTGATTGGCGCCATGACCATTGCGTATATTCTCGGAACAGGCATGACCGATATAAATCAAAGTTCATGTGTTCTACATTCTTTCCATAAACTGATAAGAAGAACGCTATTTTGGGATCGTCGCAATAATCAAGTTCATCTCGTAGAAACTCGACCGACTTGACTGAGCGTTTCACGGAATCCGACAATCGATGACAGACAGATCGTAACTTCAGAAGACGGTCTTTGAGAGGCACATATTCGACAATAGCGTCTAATAAGCTATCCTTGAGTTTTAGAAGTGGTGAGTTCTGAATGAAAATTGATAAATGCCGATTCTGGGTGATATGTGTTTTAAAAACAAACCTGAACGAATTCTTCGTCGCGCAACTCATGTAATGGGAAATATGGCCGCTGTAATTGTTGGCTATAACAGCCGTAGCCTTCCGGGTACATCGGTGCTTGCAGAACTTCTGTGTAAATCGAACAGAACGATATTCGGAAAATTTCTGAGTATTTAACTGACTGCCTGCAGAATTCCTGTTAATCGAAATTCGCGCGCGAAAACACACAAAACGCGCAGAATGCGTCACGAGGTGTGTCAACAGAGACTGTGGCCCCTTAATGGTTATGGGCGGCAGTTCAAAAAACGATCAACATAATAGGACATTCTAGGGTAGAATTTTCTTTTAATATAATCCTGCCCAGATGATTTACAGTGGAAAATACACTTGAAAAGAGAATTTTTATTTATTCGGACAATTTCTAAATACTAGTATAGTATGATGAATGTCGTCTCGAAACCCTTCCAGTTTTGAAGAATGGTCCTTTGAAGCAATACGGTAGTATGATCCAAAAAAAAAATCTGGGAAAAATAAATGCAATTTTCAGACTCTGAAATTTTCGGATTCTGACATTTCGATATTCTTAGATTTTAAAATTCTCAAAACTTTTTTCAGTTTCAGAAATTTGGTAATTTGAAAAATTTTGATTCTAAAATTTGGAAAATTTGAAAAATTCTGAAAAAACATCTTTGCTATTCGTTCCTTGTTCCTTGAATCACGAATGATATAAATCACGAATATGTTATATAATAATTGAATCAAGAATATGTTATATAATAATTTTTATTCATAAATTAATGAAAAAGAGCCATAGCCGACGTTCTTGGTGTGTGAGAAGTTTTCATGACTGGAGCTGGAGCCTTGTTGCGTTGTTCACGTTTCAAGTCGCCAATTATGCCCCACATATCGAACACCAAGCCATCCGGGAAGTCGAACATTGAAAGTTCCGATTGTTTGATGGATTCACTAAGTTGCCAAAGAGTTTCGCAATTGGAGGCAGCATCCCAGATACGCATTGCCAACTGATCATCTTGCACTCCTAGGTATTGGTCAAACAATTCGTTAAGCTTTCCGCACATCTCCGCTTGAATCATCTGATCCTGAATGTCTTCCACAGCAAATCCTCCCTCCGATTTGAACCGAATCGTTCCTTTTGCCAATTCTCCTGTACTTTTCTTGGATGATTTCATAGTTCCCGGATCAGCGGATTTTGGGGCAATCAATCTAATGATGCACTCATCACCACGACGAACATTCTTCAGAATTCGAGCAACTTGATAGTGTCTTTTTCCAAGAACTCGTTCTCCGTCAACCGCTTCAATCAGTTGTCCAACTTGAGTAGCCGGGCGCATCCGATCGAACACCGATCCTGGACTGATCATTTTGATGAACGCATTTCCGAGCCCGTTATCCGTTATGGTCACTCCAAAGTTGTTTGAATCTTTCAGAACTCGAAGCTCTGTTGCTTGTCCACGAACATGGGCGTAAAGCATGTCTTTGAAGTTAAGGGTTCCAGTGAACATGTTCTTCATGTCGGGCTGAAAACAGGTACTCCCTAGTTGTTACATCGTTTGTTTCTCACCTTGAAGTCGTTTACTGTCAAGAAAATGATATCATCTTTCGAGATTCCAAAGCAATCTGCGATCGATTGGTACAGCTCACTGACATCGGACCATCGTTCGATTATTGCGACAGGCGACCCATGAGCCAGCTGACAAGCGAACTTCAGCTCTTTGGCAGCCACCATCAGAGGGTTGACAACTGGCATCATAGCAGACGATTGACTGAAGTCTTCAACGATTGGAGCGAGAACAGCAGGTTGAATGGGTAGAGGAGCATTGCCAGATGAATAATTGGAGCGGCGATTGAATGCAACACGAGATCTCGAGCGGCTTCTAAATATTCATGAGGTGACATACAATGAGATTTCGTATCGAATTTACCTAGAACGACGGAACTGGCCTTGTTGTTCTTGCATTGTGCTGTTAGTTTGGTTAGTAGTTGGTGCTAGTCGATTCGGACTTGATACTTATTGTGGTTTCAACGAGGCTTTATTTCATTCCTAATGGGCGGAGCCTAGATTTTATCAAAATGGATTGGGGGATCACGTCAGCGGAGTTCTGCATGTTCCGCTCAAAAGTTCACGTTAAAATGATCACGTTGAATCCGTATTTTCCTTTAAAAGTTTCAGGCAAGAACAAGTGGGCCAAGATAAAAACGATGGGTTTTTATTGCAGATTTGAATATACAGTACAGAAATATGTCAGAAGTGATTGTTGAAAATCGGGTTACGGTCTTCGGAATGGCAAGCGATAAACATACTGGATAAAGTAACATTGATTCAATAATTCAACTCTTGACCTCACAGTAGAGATCCTAGAGAAAAATAGACTAGGTACAATTTACAATTTGACAAACATTTTGGAGTTTGAAGATCGATGTAAATAAATAATTGTTAAATTTGGGGACGTTTGGATGTCATGTCAATCATTTCGTTAATGTGCCGGATTTGAGGTGGTTCGCGAAGCTATAACAAGAATAGTAAAAAAAACAATAAATAAATACATTTCATACCTTCTGCTTTTCGTCCACATTTCCGTTCTTTCCGTTTTTCGATGGGCTTTGATTTACGGGAACTGTTTTTATTGATAGAAGAGTCTTGCTCAATTCTAGAATAGTTTGAGCTAATGCAGCACACTGTTCACTTGACTTTGCATTTCGAACGTCTTCGGCACATACTTCTGCAATTTTTTGAAAAGTTTTTTTAATCGAAAAACAAACTTACCAAGAGCTTTTGAAATCTGACAGCACATCATATCTTGTTCGTTTAATCGAGTCTGAAGAGTCGAAACCTGCTCCTCCATCATTTGAACTTCTTTTGTCCAGTTGTCATTATTTTGAGGGTTCCTTATGGGTTCCCTATGAGGTTCATGAGATCGACGAGGAGATGAAGGCACCGAAACTGTGTTTGATCTGTCACGAATAGTATTTTTCATTTTTTGAAGAACTGGAGCGAGAGCTAGTATGGTTGGTGGTGACTCTAACTCAGGTCTTGCTTTTGATGGTGCAACTGGTCTTTGAGGGCGTTGTGTTCTATTTGGATGACTGCTTCCAGAAACGGTGATATGGGAAAAGTTGTTTAGTTTCACATCGGGTTTCGCATTTTTCTGAAATTAATTTTTAAACGATATTTTTAGATTTCCCATACTTGTAAAATTCCGGGCCGG